ACTTTATTGCTGTAAGACTTTGGGGGCCACAGCTTGGGCTGCGTTTGATTAAAAGGGAGTTTCTTGTAAAAATCGTAGGGTTGAATGAGTTTGGCAACCTACTGTAACACGGTTATCACGCAGTGGCTTATTGTGTTCGGCCCAAATATGTACAGGAAATTTCGGTCTATATATATAGACCTTGAATAAACTAATCTATACCGAGCGCAGAAATTAATTTCTAGGAAAATTAAAAAGCTGAACTTCCAAGGAGCTAATTTTATCTTAATCTTTCAACATTATATTTGCGCCGAATGATGAGGCGTCCAACAGTTTAATTTTCCACTCCGCCACCGCCAGTCCGACAGAACAAACATTGCGACATGGTCCATAACATTGCACTGCTGTGGGATGAAATATTCTTGTGCCTTTTAGTCTTCTTTCACTCTAATGCCTCTAATAAAGGCCAGCCATATTTTAGTCATTGTAATTACGGTTAGGCGATGATAAAGTTGTAAAATAAAATATGTCTACTTCTGGGAAATAAGTAGGCACTTATGTGAAGTAAGCACACCTAGTCCGAAACCAAGTTGTCACCAGCGATGGTTTTCGTATCTTGAACCCTTCCTTAGAGCTTTATTCCTTCTAAATTGACCCCACCTGACGACATATTCGTACGTGTACAGTCTTTATACTCGTCACACTGGGCGTCCACATAAGCATGTACCCACATTAGGAAGCAGCCTCCTAGTTTGGCAGTATTTTACCATCTCTTCCGATTTGGTCAGAAAAGCAAGTTGTGGTTGCCTAAAGTCTTTCGCGAAGTGAGACCGTTGGTCTATACTTTGAAAGGATACAAAATTACCAGTATTAATTAGTCTTTTTACAAGTGCATTTCCTTCTTTCGCACATTTAGCTTTATTTTAGTAAATTCTAGTATTGCATTTGTCAGTTAACGTAATGTGAAGATACAAAAATGCGCTTTTCCGTACCTTCATTTGCTGTTTCTTGGTTCATCAGGGTTCATTTTCATAACTTCTCTAGCATGTTTACCTCGTCACCTCGTAGCCAATTTTCACAGTTGCACTGTTTGGCATTCACTATTCTCTTTTCTTTTGGTTGTTCATGCTTCCGGTTCCTGACTTCTCGAAAAGTTACCGGTGGAGGTATATTTAAATATCTTTTATTTACTGGGCGTTGCTTTTTTGGTTATTTTTCAAGTAGCGCACTTAATTCTGTTGCTCTATATATGCCTTTGCGAAGAATTTCAAGGAAAATCTCTTCATTTTTCTTTTTTTTTGGCATGCCTTTGGTTCCGCTCCACCGAGATGCCCACCCGTAAAACACCTTTTACCAGTGTTCCCGTATTACACTATTCTGGATTTACTAGTTGTGAGGTAGGGCCACACAACTTATTCTTGCCTCGCACTATTTTCGGTCATACATATTTTATGCGTGTTGCAAACTTCAGTCACGAAACGCCTATACTTTTCTAGGCGAGTTATCGTCCGTGATG